TGGCATGCAAAATATTGGAAAATAAAAAGTGTAGATAGCCCTGGGAAAGAGCCACTTCACTGAAAGCCATTGGAGCTAGTTCTGTTAAGTTTCATGTGCTCATACCAGAATTTTTCCAGAATTTTTCCTGGGTGAACACAAACGTTGAATGGAGTATATATTGCATTCTAATTCAGCATTTCCTATCAAACACCTTTTAAAAATCTCTGTGTACAATAGCATTTTCAACCAGGAAAGCTACATAAATCATAATCACAGGCTATCACTTGTGGCGGAAAATGATTTGTCTTCCATGGGTAGGGTCCTGGCAGTGTGTCCATAAGTGACTGTGGAGACCTGTTCTGGATCCACATGATCTTTTACAGTGAGAACAGATTCCCAGATGGAAGACAGTCATGACAAGGGTTTGCTTGATGCACCTTCCTCTCTGCAGGTTTTTCCCTTTCACCCTGTTTGTACCTCCTCCAAATCCACCGCACTGTTGGTAACAGCTGACCTTCAGTTGCAATGCTCGAGGGCCAGAGCTTTCCAGATTTCAGTATTTTTCCCACATTTTTAAAAGCTAACTTTAAGCTCATCTTTTAGTCTCTTTTGCTGTCCACCGACGTTGTTTTTCATTAACTGCTTTGGGAGCAGTTATACATATAAGACAGCAATATATATGACACCAACTCAAGTCTGCCTAGTTTTTTATTCCAGAATGACAGCACCCTTTTCTCTCTTCTAGCAACCAACCAACTTCTAGTTGCACTTTTTTCTCCTCTAGCAATCAAATTCTAGTCACCTATAGACATAACTCTCATATTTGAGGAGAAAGGGAGAGTAAGGATAGCAATTTATTTCCATAATCCTAGTGGCTGCTATAATACTGTGGTTTTGATCTGATAAAAGTATAGCATTGTTTTAGGAATATGCAAAAATCAGGCTCTAAAAACCTCAGGTGTGAAGAACTTTCCACCATGTAGCGCTGAATCCACATTTTCAAAATGATTTGACCATACTTAGATCTTGGATACTGGAGAAAGGCAGGGAGTTTCAGAAAAACATCTATTTCTGCTTCATTGACTATTCTAAAGCCTTTGACTGTGTGGATCATAATAAATTGTGGCAAGTTCTTAGTGGGATGGGCATCCCAAGCCACCTTGTCTCTCTCCTGAGGAATCTGTACAAGGACCAAGTAGCAACAGTCAGAACTGACCACGGAACAACAGACTGGTTCAAGATTGGGAAAGGCGTACGGCAAGGCTGCATACTCTCACCCAACCTTTTTAACTTGTATGCAGAACACATCATGCGATGTGCGGGATTGAATGAATGCAAAGCTGGGGTGAAAATTGCTGGAAGAAACATTAACAACCTCAGATATGCAGATGACACCACTCTGATGGCCGAAAGCGAGGAGGAGCTGAGGAGCCTTCTAATCAAGGTGAAAGAAGAAAGCGCAAAAGCCGGGTTGCAGCTAAACATCAAAAAAACCAAGATTATGGCCACAAGAATGATTGACAACTGGAAAATAGAGGGAGAAAATGTGGAGGCCGTGACAGACTTTGTATTTCTAGGTGCAAAGATTACTGCAGATGCAGACTGTGGCCAGGAAATCAGAAGACGCTTACTTCTTGGGAGGAGAGCAATGTCCATTCTCGATAAAATAGTAAAGAGTAGAGACATCACTGGCAACAAAGATCCGCCTAGTCAAAGCCATGGTATTCCTGTAGTCACCTACGGATGTGAGAGCTGGACCTTAGGGAAGGCTGAGCAAAGGAAGATAGATGCTTTTGAACTGTGGTGTTGGAGGAAAGTTCTGAGAGTGCCTTGGACTGCGAGAAGATCCAACCAGTCCATCCTCTAGGAAATAAAGCCCGACTGCTCACTGGAGGGAAGGATACTAGAGACAAAGTTGAAGTACTTTGGCCACATCATGAGGAGACAGCAAAGCCTAGAGAAGACAATTATGCTGGGGAAAGTGGAAGGTAAAAGGAAGAGGGGCCGACCAAGGGCGAGATGGATGGATGGCATCCTTGAAGTGACTGGACTGACCTTGAAGGAGCTGGGGGTGGTGACAGCCGACAGGGAGCTCTGGCGTGGGCTGGTCCATGAGGTCACGAAGAGTCGGAGACGACTGAACGAATGAACAACAAAGATCTTGGGCCTTTAGACTTGGGTAAAATTGTTTATTTTAGATGCCTGACAGTTAAATGCTTTAAAAAAAACCCTTTTATGCCAGTTTCTTGGAAAACTGGTGTCTGTTTATTTTTGCAACATGTGTCCTGTACTCCAAATTGTGATTGGGGTTGAATTACCTAGGAATCCTTATCTTGGAAGTGTGTTGATACCATTTTTTAAAAGAAGTTCACTATCTACATACAGCTATCTGCACATTCATATATCTGAAGGTCGCTAGAGAGGCTAGCAAGGGAGGGAGAGAAATAAGCCAACTGAACCTTTTTTTTCCCCAAAGCCACCAACCTTTATTGTTTTTTGTGGCCAAACAAATCCAGCATGCTCCTTGTGAACCAAAAGTATGGGAATCTCATTTTTGTGTCTCAGATCTGCGCCCTTCTGCTTTGGATAGAAGATATGACACTTTCTCACTCACATCACCCTTACAGAAGGCAGTCCAGACATGAGGAAAGGCAGGTGTCTCAGGAACAATTCTAAGATGGATATCAAATTGTTTACTTTCTCTGTGCATTAACTAAAACAATATGTAAGTGCATGACACATTTGCTTTGTCCGTACAAATTCTCCTCACTGATTTCCTAATTGTCCTGATTAACATTCTAGAGAAGGGGCCCTTCCCTGTCAATATTAACAATGCTACATAAGCGTCTTACTAAATGGAGTGAGCTAGAAGGGATATCCTTTAGAATTAAGCTGAATTGCTGCATGAACCAATGGATCCAATCCACTCTAAATCCTCACCATGTTTGTAAATTTGTTGCAAATGATATCACCTTACACAAAAGTGTAAAGGTGATTAGTACCCTCATGCTGATATTTTGTGAAATTTTGTTAAAAGGCAAACATTTCTCAAAATTTATAGAGGATAGTCTAATAGAAAGAAATAATATTCAGTGAAGTAAAAGCCACCCCATGAAGAAATCTAAAGAACACAAGCAAGAGGGGCAAGGTACTCTTCACAATAAAGATTTATTTCTGTGGTTGGGGACTTTCCCCAGTCCTGGCAATAGAAAAAAAGTACAAGCTTGTTGAATAAATATGGTTGCAAACTCACTGCAAAACTACTAGACTGCCAGGGTTTTTAAATAGGGTTCCATCCTCCTTCATGCTGACATTGCTTGAGCTGTGGGAATACCGTAAGGATTGTGTGGGGTTTTCACTCTAGTATATTCAGGACTGCAGCATATATAATAAAACATTTATTAACCTTCAAAATGTTAATTCCAAGAATGAATGTACTTACTATACAAAGAAGACATGCATTTCCCCAAAAGTTTAAAGCAAACACTTGTGAAAAATCTGTCTAGCGAGCCTTCATTAATAAAGCCAGGTTATGTACTTTTATTTTCCAGCACGCTGAAATTTCAACCATTGCAAATATACATTCACTTGACAGTTTTTTAAAAAATAAACCTGAGCATACATTTTAAATGGTATTGTAAACTCAAATTCATCATCAGGAAAAGATGTCAAACAGCAGCAAAACCCATTATGCCACTTAAACAGATTAACTCTTATGTCACTGTATATTGTTCTGTAGGTTTGTACATTTTTCGCTTTATCCTGGAACATATATGCTTATTCACTTTAGTTTATCTATCACCAAGCTGTTAACTGCAGAGAATCCAATCAGAATACTGGACTGACAACGGCAAATATATACAGCTTATAAATAAGGTGCCAGTATTTTTACTGGCATTACAACTGGTAGAGTAGTAGTTGTTGTGTGCCTTTAAACTGTTTCTGGGTTATGCAGAATCTAAGGTAACCCTAGCACAGGTTTTCTTTGCAAGATTTGTCCAGAAGGGGCAAAAAGCTTTGAAGAATGAGGAAGAACGAATCTGAACAATTTGAAAACCTGCATTTGCTTATTGTTGTGTCATCTTGTTTAAACTACTCTGTCAACTAGAAGGCAGTTTAGACTATTCTAGCGACTAGAACACAGTTATAAGAGAAAGCGTGCAAGAGAGCAAAAGCACGCAAGTAGCCTCAAAATGTTGATTGTACACAAATTCAGTATATTGAATACAACAATAGTATAGTGGCCTTGAAAGGTACATAGTGTGAAACTACTGCTGCTCTTTTGACAACACAGGAAAGGAATCTGGATGCTTTTTATACTACTGGTAACATAGAGGATATGGACTTCTCCAGTCCTCTTCCTGCTTCTTGGCCGCTATTTCACTTCAGTTCCAGATAAGCTGTTTATTTATTAGCTAGTGTATTTTAAAAGTATTTTCACTTTTTATTTTTTAGAGAAAATGAGAAATTATCGGTGCTGTACTAAACAGCAACACTTCAATTATGCATCCGTTCTAATTTTGGTGTGTGATCTTTTGATTATTTTAGTCTCGGTCAGTTTTGTTTCCACAGCTTTCTTTGATGCTGGGAGCAGACCTTGCCCTTTGGCGTGTGAATCTAGAATCAACCAAATGTATGGAAAAGAGATAAAAACAGTGATGATCTGCAATGTTCTTCTCAGGTCTGAAGCAAACAAGTTGGATTCTATCCAATTTTTAGGCAACTCAAACAAGGAGTCAACCACTGGCCACATTATATGAACTGAGAGATGAAAGATTGACATTGGCACTTTCTGGTCCCTCCAGATATTTAGAAACATTGGCTAAACGAAAGAAAGTTTGTGCACTTCCATTAGAGGAACACAATATATATATTTAAAAACTCTAGACCTGGTGCACCAGATTTAGCAGCAATAATTTCTCAACATCTAAAAAAACATGCAAGTTTTGAATGTAAATCCATACGTAACCACTACACAAACACACTTCATCATGACAAAATTCCTGATTTCTTAGGAATTCTGTATCATCTAATTTATTTCAAATACAAAATAATCACACAAATTCATACTTTCTTGAGGTTTATACAAAAGGATCTCTATTACTTACATTTAAAATTGAAACGAGGATTTTAATTGGCTTTTTAAAAATCATCACTCACAGTAAAACGGGCAGATCTGTTGTTGTAAGCTAAAGTAATACTGCATCACCACTGAAATAGCTATCATTTGCCAGTATTGTAGTGGATGCTTGACAACTAAAAGACAAACAAGGCATATGGACTTCAGGAAAAAGAAGAGCATATCAGAAAATGCAGGACAAAAGCATTCTTCTAACCTGCCCCTGCATTCTATTCGTTCAGTTAATCCTTTACCTTCCTTTTGAAATTATCAGATTTTTGGACTCAACTGCAGATCACACAGTGCAGTATAATAAGTATACACTTTTTAAAAATTAGGGAGTTGGATTCCTTTGTTTGACACCATTAGAAATAAAGACAAAACTACAGAGACAGAATCCAATATAATTAGCTTCCATCAATAAAATGTACCCAAACATGGTTGCAAAAGTCCTTCTACTGAAATGCTTGGCTACAATAATAAAAAGCATACATTACATATAAAAGATACCAGTGTAGTAAAAGTGACAGAGGTGAACTTGCAAATCCTTCAAAGCACACATTATATAAATGACTAGAATTTAAAAACATTTCGTCCTAAAAAATGGAAGTCATACATTTATAAATCGCTGCTCTTTCCCCACTGAATGCAGTGATGAGACTCTCAAATAATTCTGGTGCCCTTTACAGCCTGAAAGAAGACTTCAAAATTAGCTAGGTTGGAGTGCGAGTGGGGGGTGTTTTGCCAAAACTGAGTAAAGCTCATCTTAACAGCTGTTAATTCCTATGGCCAAAAGGTACTTCTGTCAAAATACACAATGACGATGCTCAACTGCAATGTGAGTTATGAACCTAACCATTTCTTGTATCAATGAACTTGATTTATACTAAAAATTTATGATTTCAAATTAAATTGCAAGGATAATCAATTGGCGCAATAGCATGAAAGAACCACCCTATCCTTTCTTCTAGGACATGAATGTTAATTTTGCAGTCTTCCTCATCTTGACCCATTCATTTCATGATTAATGCATAAGTAGGTGCAGTACAGATCTACAGACTGCTCTCCCTGCAACTCAGATTGTGCTCTGTAAACAAAGTTAAACTACAAACGAAAAAGTGGAATTTATTGATTAAAAGTATTAATTTAAACAAAGCTATTAACTTCTCCAAACAGTTTTTGGAACTATCCTTATGCTACTTGCAAAGTTAGCACAGTTAGGCATTATTGCTTACATACAGTACATCATATGCCTTCTGATATAAAGCAGTCACGTGATCTGTTCATATACAAGATTCTTTTTTCCTTTTTTGTTTAAAAACAAGCTGTAAAAACATTACATACTTTACAGACAATACAAATTCCCACATTGGTACTCAAATCTAACAAATGGAATGCATAACATTAATAAAACATCATAAAGGAAGACTGACAGTAAGTCCTTGATTGTCAAGACACATTTATATTTTATATATAAACTCTAACTGTGCAGAATCAAAGATTCAATCATAGGTACATCCTTATTTGATAACTCATATTTACAGCATAAAAAAATAAAATAAACATTTACACTTTTTTTTTTACTTTCCATCTACTGGGATAAAGAAAGCAAGAAACAACTCTGAGAAAGGTTGGCTTGCTTCAGTCTGTGTTCACTACCAGAAGATCAATCGCGCGCTCTCTCTTGTTCAATTATTATTGAAAAGAGGAAACAATGATTTATATATGTATCGCAAAAGCAACTAGAAAATTTCCCTGAAACAAAGTTGTTTTAAAATAACGGGTTTTCTTAAAACATAACAATACTTTCCCATCAATGTAATACTTTCTCAGGACATATTCTTTGCAAAAGAAGTAAGTTAGATGTGCTACATACCTAGCAAACATGCACTAACATAAAAAGAAAACATTTCCAAAAGTTGCAAGGCTTCTGTTTAAGAAAACATAAACATAATTTGTTTTATTAATAATCATATCAATTGCAAAAATTACATGAGTTTTGACCAACCAAAATACCCAGATCACAAGCACATTTCAGCCTTCTAAAGTTCTGAACTAGATGCTAATAGCTATTCTCCCGAAACTTGCAAAAGAGACCAGTCTCTTAACCAACAAAATTGTAGATTGCAAGTTTACAAGTACAAAGCAAGTTAATACTGAAATATTAAAGCAGGCTGATCCTGGATCCACCTTGGATCCTCTTCAGATATTTAAGGAACATGATACATCATAAAAACGAACATGGAATACGTTGTACATGTCCAGATGGATTTTTTTTTCAAATGATAAATCAGAAAGTGTGGATGGAAATGGAAGCCAACAGCTGTACTAAAACGTTATTAATTCACATTAGTGATCTGAAAACCCATTTTAAAAATCACAAAATAAATAAGCTAACAAAAGCAGGCATATGACAATACAATGTTATTTCATTCATTTTAACAATTGTGGCTTAGTATTCAAAGTTTGTACAAATGTTCTGCAATAGGCTTAGTTAAAGTTACAGTTATAGCATCTGTAAGACCTCAACTACAAGACTTTATACCACTGAAAAGAAATAAGAGAAACCATCTTGTGTGAGGATTATCTGTTATTCCAATTAGAAATCACCAGACTTTCGCAGAACTATCTCAATTCTGAAAATTCTTCTGTTTTGTACTAATGTCAGGAAAGGCAGGGGGTGATCCAACACAAATGAAGTGTAGTGCACTGCAGTACATAGCACTATATTTCTCTTCAAATTACTCCTGATCAATTGTATACCCTGAATAATTACGATAAATAGAAGGTAAAGTGGCAATTTCAGCTATAAACTCAAAAGCCAACTCCTTCATTATCATATTCATGTAAATAATATCATTTTATATTATGTGAATAATAAATGGGACAACAAATTGTTTTGATGTTTAAAGGGGGAAGCTGAACATACTTATTAAACATTAATCAAGTGAGGCATTAAAACCTGATTTCAAAGTGATTGTTATTCAAACTGAAACTGTATATTTGGATTTCGTAGGGCTGTAGAACCCTAACTAAATATGTCCTAAATATGCTTTAATGAAGCATTATCCCACAAAACTGAATATTATTTCTATTAATATTATCATCAGATGTATATATAATAATTAAAATTCATACTTTCTATTTAGGAGCAGTTTAGGAGCAGATTCTAATATGATTTTAGTTGGCAGAATCAAAACCACAAATTGAGTTTTTGTTCATGACTGAAATACTATATAAACATTTCTGGGCGCTGGTGCCCACTCCCAACATGTCCCTACAAATTAGCTTCTCACTGCAAGTGCAGGAGAAACTCTGAGAAGAATATGTCCTAAAAGCTATGGTATACGTTAAGGGAATGCATGGCCAAAGGAATATAAAGCTCACTGCATGCTCACCAGAATTCCCTCATCATCTCTCTCTTCAGTTTCTTACACTGAATACTTTTGAAGGAGAATCCATGTGTTTCCTCTACACAGCTTTTAATCCTTTGCTCTTTACATTCTGACTTTGTCTTGCCCTCTGTACTTGTTCACTGAAACTTTCTTAGTGACTTCCTCCAGCAAACTTCTTAAGCTCATGATCTACTGTTAACTACAAAAACAGGAGTACTGTATTTCATCAATTCTAATATGCACATCCCACCCCCACACCCCAAATCCAGGATTAAAAGGGGATGCATCTTAGAATTGCGGGCGTCCTAAATATGCCGGATTTTTTTTTTAAAGAGAATTAGAAACAAACAAACAGTCAAGAGAGCAGCTTCCCCCCAGCAATCTCTTAGCTGACTTTCCCCCCAACCTCTCATGCAGATAAGATTTAGAAGTCTATGGTTTCTCTAAAGAATTTTTTTTCTAAAATTGAAGCTCCAAAAAGGGGGTGCTTCTTGGAATCTATGACATCCTAGATTCGGTGAAATATGTTACTTTAACAGTGATAGAGATGGTTGGTTAAAATTAACACACTGTATGTGCTAACTGCCTTAGTGTAGTAGCAAACTAAAAATAAAACTTGAAACATAAGAGATTATTTTAAAAAATATTTTCACATGTGTGAATGTATCACCAATAAAGCTATTTTGACTTGATATATTTAGTTATTTTTTGCTTTTCTATGAATCTATATAGTTTAGGCAATTTATGGCAAGGGACAGGATGTAACAACATCTTATTGCAACCGTTTGTGATTCACAGGAATGACTATGGATCTATGAAGATTCATAGGCTTATTTAAGAGAGGTATCACACTGTCCATGAGTTTCATGTATATTCAAAGGTGGGCTTGAAATTGCACAGATGGAACGGGGGATAATGACTACCAGAATTAGAAGCTAAATTTAATATTGAGAATTTCTCTGGAAATTGCGATGGTTTTTCCCAACCAAATTTTTGGTGAGCAACACATCATTTGGGCTACATACTTTCTGTAAGAGATGGTAAGCACTGATGTTCTAAAACAAGTCTTCACTAGCCAGAAAATTTATATTAGTGGTAGGAGGGAGTTACCTAGGTACTTGTCACTCAGACATTAGATAAAATAATGGCTAAAGATTTCTATAAAACATCCCACTCATACAATGAAAATAAAAATTCTGTTTTAAAAACAGTTAAATTATCTCAATATTTATGTTAAGTCAAACCACACCATTTTAAAATCGTATATAGAACTAATCATTGCACCACACTATATAACTCAAGACAAGCTACTATTAAAATATCTACATAGGAGAAGAATAACAGTTAAAATTTATTAATAAATGAAATAGAGTAAAACTTTGACCAGTTATCTTTTAATTGCTTGTCCTTAAGTCACCATCTCTAGTTGACAAAACCACAGTGGCATGTAACTGGGTCAATTTCTCTGGGTCAATTTATTCTACCTAATTTAAATTTGTTAGCAAGATAACAGTTTATGTGGATGTCAAGGATTCCCATTAATTTTCATGTTTTAAATAAAAATCTGTTTGAAAACAATGCAGGCATATTGACCCTAAGGGTAGAAAATTGTTTTATTCTGGGGAATGAAAACATTTTGAAAATAATCTAAGTGCTCTAATGTTAATTATTGCAGATTTGGAGGATGAAATACAATTGATTTGTATAAATATTATGAAACTGGGAATGCAGTCTACAAAGCAATTAACTAGAGCCCAAACATCTCGACAGCTGTCATTTGGAGAGGGAAACATCAAAAAGTGATGTTCAAAGATACAAAAGAATATGGAATCCTTCAGGAAGGAAAGAAATGCATTAATATTGTGTATTTTGTTTTTAAAGTTCTTCCCATTATTTGGGCATTTAAGTAGTATGGTGTGTCTTGGACTTCCCCAAAGTATAGTAAAATGCAAAGAAATCAATAATCACAATATAATGTGTATTACTTTCTTCTTATTTCTTTTTACTTCTTGGCCCACAGTTTAGTGGATTGCTCCTCTGCACCAGCCAGAGAATATTTTCTCCAGAAATACTATATTGTCTATCCATAATTTTCTGACTATCATTGTAACTTTTGAGTTTATTTTGTTTGAATACTCTATTCATACTCCCTGCTGAAGTGCAATGGCCAGATTAACTTATTATGAAATTCCAATAGAAATAACCTAATAATAATTCTTGTCCTGAAAATAATCAACACTGCCAAACTACAAAATTATTATAGGAGACAGCCTATCTGGGTTTTTTGGTTTGTTTCATCTTGTATTAAATCTCAACATAGCAAGTTCCTGATCTCAAATAAGCAAATAACCATCTGCCTTGTCAGTGGACACCCACATGTAAGGCAATTCACAAAAAATGGCAATTAATAAAAAAAAGTAGTTACCAGTATGCTGTACCAGCTTACTTTTTGTTATAACACAAGGTCTGAAATCTGCATAGGACTCGACTCCATCCTATAGTGAACACGCTCAGCTGAGCAGACCTGTGCTAAAGTGCCAATGATACTTTTAAAAATTTCTTAGCCAAATGTCTGGCCTGTTGTAGCATCAGGTGAAGAGTTCATCCCAGCTCGCCCATCATTTACATTCACCAAGGGGAATTCAGGAAATTCAGCATTTGCCCCTGGCCCCCGCAGGTTCACCTGCCCATTAGCAGTGTTAAACTGAGATGACATTCCAGCTCTTGATCCATGGTACTGAGCCCTGAATGGCTGCTCAAAAGAACTCATTTGATATGTTTGATGGACAGGCTGGGGCTCTGCTTTCTTCTGAGAAGTCACTTGATCCAAGAAGTCCTGTGTAGAAGATGAGGAAGAATGATTTGGCTCATCACCTGAAAAGGGAAAAGAATGCTGGGAATCACCAACGATAAGTCCAAAATGAGATTTGTCTGCGGTTGTTCTTAATGGAGAGTTCATTCCTGATCGAAAATTGTTGACAGGGATAGATGCATAGACTTGTTTGTCTATACCAGAAAATGCTGGTTGCCCTGTAAGAGTCTGGTTGTCGCTCACAAAATTAAGGCTTGGGTTGTTCAAATAGGCATCATTTTGGCTAGTTCTGTCCAAAGCTTGCTGAAGAAACTTGGAATATTCCTGTAACATACTGGCTTTATCGGATGAGGAACCTTGAGAGCCTGCTGCAATATTCTCATTTTGTGCGACCTCCGATACTTCAGAAGAATTGATTGCGATACTGGAAGTCACTTCTGCATCAGCCACATTAAAAGCTATTTCATGCTGGCCATTGGCTTTATGAGAATAATGGTCTAAAAGAGTTTGAAGTACCTCATCTGGAATGACATTTTTGTCATGGTTACCTTTAATCTCTACACTCAGTCCTGTTGCATCCAATATTGATGCTGTGCTACCTTCATCTATCACACTTGCAACAGCAGCCTGAGTAACTGAAGGCTGAGAGGCAATGGTGCCTACATTCAAGGCATATTCCCTGCTGTTACTATTAGCAGCTTGAAGATACCGTCTTTTCTTTAAAAACTGCATTGCATCATCATAGTTTGTGCTGCTGTGTACAGGTTTACTGGGACCTTCCTGTAAAGCATCAACTTGGTCAATGTCTGCATTGCCTTCAGAACCCAGAAGGACTTTGTTGTCCACCAGATCAAAGGCAAACTTTGAAACCTTGCTGTCTTCATAAGAGGCTAAGGATGAAATGGTTTGACTTTGTTCCAGAGAGTGTTTCAGGCTTCTCTTACTATTAACTTTTTTGAGCACCAGTTTAGGTGGATGTATTTCTCCAGAATGTGCTTCATGTAAGTGCCCTCCACTGACAGATGAATGTGGCAACTCAACTGCGTATTCAGCCACCATGTATTCATCCTTTATTTTAGTACTACCAGCATACAAAGGCAAGAAATCATTCTTATCTTTTTTATGTTCAGATTTATCACTCCCGCATTCTTTGTCTAGCCCAGAAGACTTCAGTTTCTCAGTTTTTTGCCTTTTCTTCTTTGGCAAAGAGCTGTCTTTCAAAGGCATGGGGAAGCCTTGATCTTCATCAGGACCCAAAAGGCCAATTTTGGTGGCACTTCTGCTCGGCTTCTTGTCACGGTTCTCATGGCACATGCGTTTGTGTTTCAATACACGGTCAGTCCTTGAGAAGAACTACAGGGGATAGTAATGAATTAGAGAAAAACTAGAAGCCAACCTAATAAGCCATATAGTTTGACAGTATAAACTCATCATGTAAGTGAATCTGCTGATATGGTAAACATTTCTGCATGTAACTAATGGTCTGTGTGAAAACTGCCACGTCAAAACATATAAATTAAGCACATTGAAACAATTTCAGTTATTATGAAATTTGGCCCTAACTCTTAATTAACTCTCCTGCTGTGCATAAGGACCACTTCAATACCTGTGGGGAAAGTTAGCAAATAAAAGCCCCATCATACTAGCATTCATCTCCCTCAGCCTCCCTCATCATCTAACACAGTGGTTCTCAGGTGTTTTGGCCAACAACTCCCAGAAATCCTAGCCAGTTTACCAGCTATTAGGATTTCTGGGAGTTGAAGGCCAAATCATTTGGGGACCCATAGGTTGAGAATCACTGATCTAATATTTGGTTGATAATTAAAATCCTGCTCCTGACTATACAGACAAACTGCTTATTTTAACTGCAGTTCTGAGTGGTCATCTATGAACTCACATAAATGGTCACCTGTGCAATGCATAATTTGAAAACTCCTAGAGCTTTTAAATAAATGTTTTGGTAGCAGACCCACCCACACCTCATATCAATTTGCTTCCTGCCTAACCCTCAGTTCAAAACACAAGTTGCAAACTGTTATCCAAACAGAGCTATGTTAACATTAACTGTGCAAATCGGTTTAAACTGCATATAAATCACACAAAGAAAATACTCTTTCAAACGAAAGAGTGAAGATGCTCACCTCCATTACGAGAAAGGGAATATATATCATTTGGAAGAGTGAATTTATAACTCTCAAGCCTCGAGTAAACTCTAGAGGGAAATAACCAAGTAGCACTTAGACTAATACCTTATGTATTTTCTTTGTGTGATTTATATGCAGTTTAAACCGATTTACACAGTTAATGTTAACATAGCTCTGTTTAGATAACAGTTTGCAACTTGTGTTTTGTTATTGGTTATAGATATGTGTTTCTTTGATAAATCCTCAGTTTCCCAGAAGCTGATGAAGCAGCACAAGTATCTAAGTGAGGCCAACTCCCTCTCACAAATGAAGAAAAATGTTTCAAAATTAAATTTACAAAGTACATGGTAATCACAATGCAAGCTAAAGTGCTTTACTGCAAGATGTAAAGTTATCCAATATCATAATAGTGGATATGACTCATGTTTTCATTTGTGTAAGGTATTACTTTGTATTACATTTGTTTAGTATTTTACCTATTTTTCCTAATCTATCTTGTTTTGTCTTCTCTTTCGAATTACCTGTAAGCAGTATTCACACTGGTAAGGCTTCTCTCCACTATGGGTTCTCTTGTGCCTTTCCATATGATATTTCTGTATGAATCTCATGCCACATTCATCACATCGAAATGGTTTTTCACCTAAGAATAAAAATGACAAGAAAATACATAGCTTAAACAAACAGAAAGAAGAGCATAGATTTCCACAATATTGGTATTTAGTAACTTTACCATTGATCAAAAATACATCCACAACATTCTAAATGAAGAGGGCTAGGAAAACCCAAGGTTGCATAAATTTATATTTTCAGTCCTGTTGCCAATACATACTTCAGAGATAGCAAACTTAGAAAAGTAGCAAGAAAAATGTTCCAGCTCTATAGAACTTTGTCTTACTTTAACGTTCAAATTAAAAATTTGGTTTAGAAACACAATGAATTTTGTATCCAGTGGTGACAACTTCTCTCTAGTTTCCAGAAAAACCACAAACTCTGTCACAAGTTTCAGGTACAAAGGAACTGGTTTTATGATTTCATCTCACATTTTGATTATTTGTGAAAATCAAAATACATTACATAAAAGTCAACATTTCTAAAGTTGGTGGTTGATGTAAAATGTATATTCATTCATTTATTTAAGTAATATTAATCTGAATTATAGACCAACTATGGGCTTCTTTGGGTAAGGGAGGGAATTTATATGAGTAGTCAAGTGCCTAGTTTATCTGTACCAGATATCTTGTTGAATTTGCAGAATTTAAGATTTCTGTTCTTTTCCTGTATTTAATTCCGTTATGTCAATCACTAAAGAATTGAAAGTATGAATAACCCTTTTCAATTATTTTCATTGTCACTTATTTTGTATTTAACTTTAATAATACTGATCCATTTTGTACCTGTCCACTAAGTCTAAAATAACTGCAGTAACTAAACTTTAAATTGTGAAGATTATATTTTGGACAAACTATTTCAACAACACATTCTATGTAAAGGTTTAAACAATTATTTTCAGTGTGTTGTCTTGTGTATCAAATTGATTCCGACTTATGGTGACCCTTATTCTTTTCAGCACCACATCTTTTTCCTTTGCTTTGATTTTAAGGTGAGTATCAATTATCTTAACTTTCAACTGTAACACTTAACAACCTTGATTTTTAAAATAAATTTCCTTTCCTTTCTTGTTTATTTTATATAATATTGAATTGCTTTTCTTTAGTCTATTACACAGTTACGATACCATTCCTTAGAATAAAAGCAATTTGGTCTCATTGATTTAAAAGTAACTAGGCCTGAGGTTGCAGTTTTCTCTCAGAAAAGTATTCTCTATCATTGTTGAATATACACAAGGTTGTTTTCTAGAGCAGAGAAATCACGAATGTGAATCACGATACAGATTATAGTCAAGTAAAATGCTAATAACACATGTATAGACATATCAAATGAATTCAAGAAATGTATCCAATTTTTAATGAAGAAGTGATAATGAGCAGAAAGTGGTTGTTAGAAAACAGGGCATGGCATAAAGGCAGGTATAAGCAACACCTCAATCTCTCCTTCACATGGACAGAAAATTTTCCCTCTTTCATTTGAAGTGGAGACTACAAGTGGGAGGATGCTTGCTTTGGGGCTTTTCGTGGACAACTGATTGGATTCAGTGTGAACAAAATGCTGGACTAGCTAGGCTAGTCATCTGATTCAGCATGGCTATTCTTATGATTGCACATGCTGTAGCGCCTCATTCCACAAAGGGGAATTTAAAATTCAATTATATCACTATACAATATTTCGCTGACTTAAAAAAGAAAAGAATGAGCCATGTCTTCAATGTTTCTCTCTCACAAAAGTCACTAAACACAGAAAGTTAAGTAAACATAACCACACACATTTAAGTATTTCAAAACACTTGAAAATTATCTGAATGTTTGATCCAAAAACCATGGAAAGAAAAAAGGCACCGCTTACCATTCTAACAATGGAATGCTATACTTCTTGTAATACTAACAAGAAACCAACATTGAATACAGGAAGCTTTACCAATTGATGGTTCCTTGATCTTTATCATAGACTAGAATATGTGACAGAAAATGAACTTCACATTTGCACTCTTACAGAAGAAGCAAGCATGAAAATGACACAAAATCTTTAGATGTGGCAAAAGGTGCTTGCCTATATTCACCCATAATTCACTTGCAAGCCAGGATTATAAACTACAGTCACATTTTGGTTTGGTAACAAACTAGGCTTTATGCAAATCCTACTTTCCCATAGTCAATGTCATGGTTTTATATAAACCTGGAACACAAACCTTTCCCTGTGTGTGCAGCAGAAGTGCTTCTGTTATAAACAAATGCAGTTAAAGCATAACTGACTAAAAATTATTATATTTATAGAGACTACTGCAAAAGCAGCAGGGTTTCAAGGAGATGTCAAGTTGTAATACATATCTGCTGGGTCACACTGTTTTCACACTTAGATTTGGTCTGTCATCAGCCTGTACTTTAGTTGCTGTACCAACTGAGTTCCCTAGAACCATTTCCTCTTCTTTCTACTCATGCCTATGAACATCCCAACAAATTGAATATATATTGACTCAGGAGACATCTGTACTGGAAGTCTAATAAATTATTTTCTTAAACTTCTGCTATTTATTTATTTAATTTATATCTTAGTTTTCTCCTGGCATGTGATGAAAGGTGGCTTCCAATAAAGTATAGCTAAACAACTAATAACAATTTTAAAACAATTAAATAATCAATTTTATTAAAATATTATTTTCAAACAATTTAGAATACATTTAAAATATACTACATTTTAATGTTAATCAGCATGTTAAAAACACTTCTGCCACAACCAGTCAACAGCCTAAGGTTTATTTTTAAATCAAGGCTACAATCCTTATTCTTGTCAATACAAAGAAGGCACTCAAGAGTATTTATCTAAGAAGGCAATTGAACAAAGTCCCAGAGGTCACACAAACACGCTCAATAAACAGGCTTTATTTACTCTTAATAATTCAGTTAAATCTACGAACAAAGACTAAACAAAGTTAAATCCAAAAAGAATGATAATGAAATGCAATACAAAGACTGAAGAGGAAAGATGACAACTAAAGAGAAAGCAATATTTTTTTTTTAAAAAAAAAGTGAATTGTGGTGAACTGGTGTACACACTACAGCCCAAAGAGAACATTGTCCCCGATGTTTTTGACCTGGCATATAAAAAGACTCCAGAGAAGACACTTAAGGGGGAAACACTGGAAATGTCTGGCTGCAAGGCTTCTTTCAAAACTCTATTCAGTATTCATCCCAACAGGCCAAGGTCTTAGGGTTTGAGGGAATGCTTCCTGTACGCATTTGTATTTTTAAAAAAATATCCAAATGATGTGCCTCCAATTTTAGCCCATTATACCTAATTCCTGGGAACAGTTGTGATTTTTAAATCCAGGACAAGAAGTGTTGGGCGATTCTAAAATAAGCAGGGATTAGTATTCCCTGTCTGAATAATTTGTTTCTTCTCATATGTTTGAGTGGCCCCTATGATGATACAATGGATGAGGATGTGCTCTTCCCCACAAAGATTCTTCTATGGCCTTTGTTCCCTCAGTAAATATCCAGAAAAGGGAAGTAACCACACCCATGCCACACTTCACATCAGACAAAAACAAAAAAACCAAAACAACTCAACAAATCCCAAAATCTTTGGGCGATCTAGATGACCCCTGAATTATAGAATATTCCAATCAAGAGGTCACCAGACCCAAAACTATAGTTTGTGGATTACAAAGAACACAAGAGAGAACTGAACTGACTGGAAATATTCTCTTGGCACATAGTGGATAAATAGTGGCTTAAGCCATATCCCACAGGAACATTTAAGGAAAAAAAGTCAGAGCTAGCAAGACTTTCTAACCTAGCAAGATGCATGAGGTAAGAGATGGTAAAAGTAACTATGAGAAACAGCCTTGAATTTTTTCAAGGGTTTATAGAGGCTATATACAGAGGCTAGATGGCCATCTGTCAGGGGTGCTTTGAATGCAATATTCCTGGTTCTTGGCAGGAGGTTGGACTGGATGCCCCATGAGGTCTCTTCCAACTCTATGATTCTATGATTGTTAAACTCAGAGCTATCCAAGATAGTTGTTGCTATTGTGCACCTTCAAGTCATTTCTGATCCTAAGGTGAAACCCATCATGGGTTTTCTTCATAAGCTTTGTTAGATGGTGCATGCATTTGCCTTCCTCTAAGACTGAGAGACTTGCCCAAGGATTCCAGGATCAAGCAGGGATTTAAACCTGACCTTCAAAGTCATAGTCAAATGCTTAGACCATTACACTAGGTTGGCTCTCTTAATTGTAGCATGTGGCCTAACAATAGTCATAATCCCACTGCAGTTTATGTACATTGGGAGAAAAACTGAAAGAAGTAGATAGCTATATCCTATATACAGAGGATGTATTATAAATGCGACTAGTACTGAATAGTTTGACTAAACATCCCCACTTTAGATTACAAAATATCTATAAAACACTCACTTTCATATAGTTTCGACAACTGAAGTCATATCTGAATTAGTAAGCACTATTTTACACAACTTTGGGATTTTTCATTTATGTACTTAATTTTTATCTTGCCTTTCTCCTGATATAGGGACTCAAGGCTTTCACAAACAGCCATACACACAAACATTTCAATGGTTTAAAAATTCCAACAAAATTCAGAGGAAACTAGGAAGAAAAGAAACAAAATTAAATAATTTAATTTCCAAGCTGGTTTATAATGCCATTCCTTTCTACTTTTAGTATCATGTGAAGTGAAAGCTGAAATTTAGGGAGCATAAATAAAACAACATGGCCTTTTTCTCTTCTCCGTGGTCCACGCCCCCCCCCCCGCCCCGCCAGCAATTAAAACCACTGAAATAGAAGAGTAATTTTATTTTGCCAAAAGAATGATGATTAACTCTTCAAATGGCCGTCACATTAGAGGTGAAATATATCAAGAACCCAATGACATTTTGATAGAATTCTTGATGATAAGGGTGTTTTTTTTCAACAACAAAAAAAAAAGAATAAGTTGAGCCTCAGAAAAGTTTGGTGAAAGTCAGTAGTGGTCAATGTTTCTTATGACTTCTTGCACAACTCACAATGGAGACAAACTTCCAATTTAGTTCAAAGATACACCAGTACTTAACGGAAGGTGTTCCTTGTTTTTTTTTTTTTTGGTTAACCTTATAATTGGGCATCCAAGCCTAGAGCGTAGAATGGATACAGATCCCATGTAATGATCCTCTATCTATGATAGCCAACTTTATTTTTTTTTTGTGAGGTTAGATGCTAAAAATCAATATCCCTTTTCCTAACCTCACCAAAAAAATAAAGCTGGCTATCATAGATCGAGGATCATTAAATGGGATCTGTATCCATTCTACGCTTATGTTTATGTGGTCACCTTGAATCAATCACAGATGTATCTACCTTACAGGATGTTGTGAGGATAAAAACATGTGCCCTCACCATTTAACATCTGAAGAAAGTGAGTTATGCCCTCTTTTTAAAAAGGGGAGAAAATTAACCTTTCTTTAAAAAAAAACGTTCAACATTCCAATAGCTGGGAGAAGAGGTACAGTTTACTAGATTAGCGGGTTTAGTGACAAAAATGGTACAATATTTCTTCACATTAAGTAAGGCCTACAGGCACATTCCTTCCCTACTCAACAAAAGTGCTCATTGCATGTTTTTCTTACTGACAACTCCCTCATCCAAAGGGGTTTAGTCAGTGGTTCTCAACCTGGGGTCCCCATATGTTTTTGGCCTTCAACTCCCAGAAATCCTAACAGCTGGTAAACTGTCTGGGATTTCTGGGAGTTGTAGGCCAAAAAACCTGGGGACCCACAGGTTGAGAACCACTGGGTTTAGTGGTTCATCCTACATCTCCTGAAGCAAGAGCATTGCCTTCTTTAACTGAAAAGTGTGGAGCAACATGCGCCAAACTGTGTTCTCATCTTCTCCTTTTCATCCATTTTTTAAAATCATCTCTTTGATAATTTCTTCTCACTTTTACTTGCTTCTTATTCGCAAGTTTTTTTTTACTGATTTCACAGGACACAGCAAATGACGGAACATCACACCAATTATAGGAGAAAACATACATCGCTAGTGGCAAGGGACAAAAAAGCTAAGGGAGCAAACTTCCAATCCAAAAGGTTTGTCTTTTTCTACAAATCTTGCACACCTGCTTCACATTGACGGCTTGATCCCATGCCCGAGGAGTGCACTCAAGTGGAGAGAATTAGGTGGCTACCCACACAGGGCACCAAAAGAAATACTTTTTGAGTTTTCTGCACATTAAAAAAATATACACTACATAACCCTTTTCCTTTACCTTATAAACAAAATCCTTCAGTCACTTTAGTTCAGCAGCAACTTTTAGATCACCCCCTCCTAGGAGTGGCTCCGCCCACTCCTCTCTCCCCCTCCCCTCTCTCTTTCACTCACTCAATCCCTTCGCCTTCTCTTTCCTCTCCTCTTTCCCCCTCCACACTGGGAAACATGGCATCAGGAGGGATGATTTTAACCAACCACGACCACCAAATCCGCATGGGGATCCTCACAGGTAACAGGCAAGGCTCAGGGCTGAGAGAGTATGTGGAAGTGGTGGGGGAGAGTATTTAAAATATTATCAATAAATATTTTAAATTCATATTTATTGAAAAACTGCAAAACAGCAAGTCCCTGAAAAGTGAACAGTGAACTAGTGAGGGAACACTGTAACTGCAAAATATATAAGCATCAGCTAGACTGTTTTTTTAAAAAACAATAAAATCAATTTCTTGCTCTAATGTGAACACCGCAGGAGGAGTTGCAGAAAGTGGGGTAGTGAGAGACAAAAGAATGGCCTAGAAGAAATGTAAACCAATGTGCAAACCCAAATATGATTAATATTTAGTGCAAATGTTCCAAGAGAAACAGAACATTTCTGCATATACATTCCCTGCAAAAACAATAAGCTGTTGTGTTTTTTAAGGTTGAAACACATATGAAGCACTACACAGAAGTAATTTAATCAAAATGAAACCTCTCACCAAGCAACACTCAGCTGGTCTGCCAGCTCAATTTTTCTGAAAAAGAAGCTGAAAATTGGCATCCAGAAGTCAAAAAGAACTGTATCCTTAAATATTTATGGAGGTAATGAAAGGCCATGCACCAAAATGCCAAAAACCCATTAGAGCCAAGCCTGTTTACAGAATGTGGTTTTCCAGAAAAAGAGTTTTTAAACAAACACATAGAAAATAACTATTTCTCTTTAACTGTGTACCTGTTTTTTTTTTATTGCGTTTTGGCCTAAGTTCTTTCTCTCTCTCATATAATTTTCTGTATTTTTTAGAACAAGGTGCAAATGTCTAGGGGTTAGGCATTTTGGCCGCAATAGTTTTAGGAGAAGTCTTGTTTATTATATTATACAAAAGTAAACACATCTACTCCAAAGCTTTGCTCACATCCACTATTAGTAATGTGGCATTGGGGGAGAGTGCTAAAGAAAAGCAGCAAAGCTTAATCACCCAGGTTTTGGCCATCTTTGAGGAACATTTGTTTAAGCACACCAGTAAACATACTCAAGGCACTATACTCACCAGTATGAATCTTCTCATGTCTCTGTAGCAGGTACTTCTGTATGAAACGCATCTCGCACTGACTGCACTGAAATGGTTTTTCACCTTAAACAATATAATTCCACATCTGTAAGTTAAAAGCTACAAACAAATAATTTGTGTCTAACAAATTATGTTGAGAACTAAAATATTTGACTGTTGGAATCCAGAATCTGAGTGAATTCCAAAATAAAATATGCCTGAATTATCTGGGTGAAAAACATTGTGTCTTAATTCTGTGACTCTATAATGTTAACAGAGTGGTGCAGCTTATGAACAAAAGTAGGATAATAAACTGGATTTAAACACCTCTTCAAGTTATCCAAACAGAGATCCTTCATTACCCAAATAAGAACCAAGAACCTATTTTCTAAACAAGACAAAACTAAAATTTGGACTATTTATGAACACAGTATATCTTTGTATAGAACATACATCTGAGTACATTTCAAAGAAGAACGTAGATTTTATGGTATTTTTTGACACCTTGGTGCATGGAATACCCAAGTTTAGATGCCACATTTCCTTCACTTTAAAATATAAAGTACGGATCATTTCCCATTATTCAGTGAATTACTTAGGGTTCAGAGGTTCTTTAGATAACAAAAAGGACAATTTAAATTCCATCAGTACCTGTATGAATGAAGACATGCCTTTGTAAATGGTAGTTGGTTCTAAAGGCAGCATTGCAGTGCTCACAAATGTGAGATTTGGTGGTTTTCAGACCAAGTGATCCATCCTCATTTATTGTCAAGATCTATTTTACAGGGGCAAAATTCAGTCTCACATTAATTTCTGTAGAATGGTATTAGATCCAACCAAATAACAACAGAGAACAATTATATAAAGTCACGCTGGAAAACAGCAAGAGATTGTACAAATTATACACCTGAAGTATTCCTTAGATGACAAAACTGTAAGTTATATTTTAAAAGTTTAGGACATATATAAAAAAGTAATATACCAGATCAGATCAAGCAGTACAATGTTTATCATTGGAAAGGCAAATACAAATCAGAATACTATTGCTGCTGTAATATATTTCCACAAATGATGGTATTATTAAAAGCTATAAATCATCATCTCAAAATATAATTATCCCGAGCAAAAGTATTTTATTTACTTTACGCCCAGGAACCAGCACATACGGAAATATGCAAATCGGATGTTACAAAAAATATAAAGCCACTCATATTCTATTGCTCAAAACTTACAAGACACCTAGCAACTCTGTTTTTAACTTTAGGGGATTTTCATTAGTATAAGTAGATTGCTGATAAGAGATGTACTTTGGTAATTTTACTCATGTTGGTGAAATGAAAAATGTGTACTCTTCAGTATCACTAAGCACTGAGCTGATGATCTTAAGCTGTTTCAGTTTTAATGACATGTGACATACAATAAAACATGACACTGTTAATAAATATTCGATGTTCAAATTGTTCTTGTATTATGGTGTGAATTGTTTTACATGACTGTGCATCTAGAACTGAGACCAGCAATCAAATAGCTATTTTAAATGCACATATGCTTTATATTTAGGAACTAAAAAATTCCTGACTACTTGCTTTTGTCTCCTCAGTTTTAAAAGCAGTTTGTCATGTCACAAAGCTGCTCTTCAAAAATGCAAGCCTAAACCTGGATTCATGAACCATGAATCCAGTTCTTATGAGAATCTAAGTGCTGGTACATCCTTTTGAGTTCGTCCCTGAAAAACATGTCTGAATCCCATATTGCTAATTAAAGATAATCAGACATAGCAACACAGAGAACATGTTCTGACAGATACTAAAAGTTCTGGACCATTTGTGCAATTGCCACAAGTGGCTTGTACCATCATAAGCTTTGTACAGTAGAAACACAAATATATAATTACTTATGTTTGCTACTCAAAGAAATCTGTTCTCACTTGAAATTCAGCTAGTGAGTTTTTTCTTACTCCAACATAGCTAATATTTGAATATCAAAAAGCTTCACAAACTAGATTGTATAAAATTTCAAAAGTGCAACTAGGTGGAATTAGTTTTCAAAACCGATACTCAAAACGCCTCTTGTCCAAATCTCTCTTGTCCAGTTCAGACATTTTCCTATATAACGCTAATAAAAAACAAATCCATGATTCATTCCAAATTAGACGTCTGTTAATATGATCCTTTTGTCCCTATAAGACAAGCTGGGGTGAGGCAAGGAGCTGTAACCATATACAAAAATTATTTTTAATTAAACTGGTCACAGCTTTTATTGATATAATTTTCTACAACCTTTATGGTATAAGAAGTGATTGAGTTATGTATCAGGAAGCAATGTTGAGAATGATCTAGATGTCCGCCTGAATGTGTAAGCCATATCGAGTCTTTAAAAATATAAAACCTAACTTGATGGGTTTGGAGTTTATGCTACATTGATAATCTCATTGGCAAACGTCAACAACATATTCAGGCTTTAAATTTAATTTCCAGGAGTGGATCAAACAGGAACTTGTCTTTTTAGGCTCACACCTCAGAACCTATCCTTCTAAGAATCCAACTGGGCCAGACTCATTCAAACCCTGTAACGTAAGAACCTCCAGATGCACTCTAGGTAAAGAGATGGTGCATACTCTTTTCCCTATCCTTCACAGCACACCACCAAGCCATCCAGCAAGTAAAGCCCTGGATATACTGTAAAATAATTACTTAATTTCAGGTGGACTCAATACCTCGCTGCAACACCAATTTCTATCTGCTAAAAATAAAGTTGTTTAAATGAGTATGCTATTTAAATAATTCCAACATTGTCACTGTACAAAATCTGAGTTTTTATTCCACTAAACAGTCTTAACCATTGATAAGTGATCCCTATGCTGGAGGAGGGGAAATGAAGAATGAGCTGACTGAGGATCAGATATAAAAGTATGCTAAATATTCATGCTGTGAAAAGAAGTAAAAAAAATGTTGTGAATATCTTTTGACTCTGCTTTGAGATCATAGATTACAGAAACTATCATTTCCAAATGCTATTATTTCCATTTTGTAAATCACCAGGCTGCCTTGAAGGTTCAAATTAGCGGTCTTACCTTTGCTGGTGAACGCTGTTTCCTTTTTTTCTTCTTTTGCATATCTAAACCCTCTCGTATTAGCTTTTTGTCCCTTTTCTGCTGTTCTGATACATCAGTAAAGGTAATTTCTTGTTTCACACTGATCTGCTAAGATATCAAATACAATATATTATTTAAATGTACAAGGCCTTTTGCAAACTTTTAAACAGTGGTTCTCAACCTGTGGGTTCCCAGGCGTTTTGGCCTACAACTCCAAAAAATCCCAGCCAGTTTACCAGCTGTTAGGATTTCTGGGAGTTGAAGGCCAAAACATCTGGGAATCCACAGGTTGAGAACCACTGTCTTAAAATATCTCAATATCCTTGAGAGCTATTTTATACCTTTCTTTTAAAAAAGATAAAGAAAAAAGGAGCAGCTACTTTCAAATGTTCATGCCCTTACTGCTTGGATATAAGTAAATATTTGGCACTAATACTGTATTTTATTACACAAAACATTTTTAATTTCAAATTCATATCTATGGTGATAAGCAGGGCTTATTATAGCCATATTGCAAAGATAACTGAGCTTAAGAATAAATTAGTCCTCCACATAACTGAGATAGAGGTGGGAATTGTGTGATTCTCCAAATGTTGTTAAAGTACAACTCCCAGCATTTAGAACAGTGGTTGAGAAACACTGATTTTGAATAATGAACTATGATGGCTAGTGCTTCTGTGATAGTTAAAATCGAATAAAAAAATTAAATTGGAATAAAATCTGAAGAGCCACACAACTGTCAACCTGCTTATAATAAAATCTGCAGAACCACACAACTGTCAACCTGCTTATAGCTATTTTGGCACAAAAGTTATCAGACAGAGCAAGTTCCAGAAAGTGAATCTGAGGTGTTTTCATTCTCCTCTCACCTTTCTATTGTGCACAAATGCAACAGTTACATGTTTAAACATATACAGTTGCTGTCACGTTTGCTTTCTCTCTGATATTTTTCAAATTAGAGTTTCAGTAACAAAATGCTAATACAGCATTGCACCAACCCCCTTCATTGATGTAAACAATTCTAAAATTCTCAAATTATTCAATTATAGTAAGACTGTAGTCCTACACTATTGTCACTATTTTAAAAGTAGAGACAGTCCCCAGGTTACAGACAAGGTTCTTGTGTGTAAGTCGGAACATAGAGATTTTAAGTGTAACTCCAGCCAATATATATAGTTTTGATAGCATTATAAAGGTTTAACATCCATGTGATGTTTGTACAATTTGATTTAAAATTAAGTGATATGCTTTAGCCATAAAATCAACAATAGCATTATGCTTCTGTAAAATAAGAATAGCATCTTATTTTTGCCAATTACTTCCATAGAAATATTTAAGATATTGATACCAATAACTACTTCAAGAATGAAATGCTGCAGAAACCTGCAGAGATACAGGGGTGAAATGGGCCTCTGGCCACTACACAGTTGCCTACCCCATTCTGAAAAGTCAACTGCAATCTTTGGTTGCAAGCCTTTCAGTATTGTTTTGATTACAGAACAGGGCATGTTTTGTGAACTAAATCCAGTAATTAGCAGTTGCAACAGAAGTTTCCTATTCTCCTTTTCTTTAGATTGCTCTTTAGATTCTTTAGATTGCTCTCTGAACTCTGTTCCAGAGTGATTTCTAGCCCCCCAGATATTATTTTGAGATATTATTTTGAGAGTGCACAATGGGGTCACCTCCTTTTGCTTTTGTTGGATTTGGGGGTTTCACTTGCAGAAGGGCAATGTTTGAATCTTCCCCTTTATTTCTCATTACAAAATGAGAATTTAGAAGCTATTTGGGTATTTATGCTTCCATTTTTTTCAGTATCACAGAATATTGGTTTATTGTCAAGCCTCTTGTAATTTAATGCTCTATAACTAAAGTATTTGGTTTCTTAACATATTTTATGCAAGTTTTCAATTAGCTGCCATTTTGTACTTTTTTAAAAAACTGTGGGTTTTAAAAATCTTTAAAATAAATTATTGGTAAAAATTAACTAAAATTGGCCAGCTTGTCTCCATGAATTGAATAAATCCCAAAAGAATGAAATATTCTCACATCTCTATGAATGAAAACAGATTTTAATTCAACTGCAATGTGAGAACTCATATCTCACTCAGAATTATTGTAACAATTAACATTGCTACTTTCAAATTCACATGCTAAATCAGAAAAAACAGCCTGAGCAATGAATGCTACTGATTTCTACTGACACAGGTACAATATTTCAAATATTTAAAATATTTGCATAATTTATGTAGAGGCATCTAAAATCAAAAGAACAGTGTCTATATACACTTGAAGAAGTACATATTTTGTATTGATTAATTTCTAGCATCAAGGATGACAGTGACTGTAAAGAAAAATGATGATTGTTATCGCAAATAAAGGCCTTGACTTCAAGTAATCCCTACTTCAATCTTGCCATAAATTATACTTTTTATTTATCTTTTCTTCTCTTTTTATTCATCCCACTTTTTTACAAATGAAATAAGGTAGTTATGAACTGCTAATTTTTCACATATGCTGCTCATAACTTACAATTTGAATTGATCCCTGATTAACTCCATAATCTTGCAAGAAATATCATAGATAAAACTAGGTAAAGAATTATAGTTTCCTTCTTGCTTTTGTCAGTAAAAGTTCCAATTGTATTTCCCACATAAGTAATCTTTTTACTCTGGTTTTCATTTGGTTACTCTTGTCATATTTTTAAAATTAGATGAGATTTCCTCAATTGTAACTGGACAGTGTGCTAAAGAAATGCTTACAGGAACACTAACTGCATACTGAAGTCCTTGAGGAAGCCTGTCATGTCCCTCCATCTCATCATCATTTTTTACCGTCTCTTCATGTACCATGAGTTCATCATGTGGAATCATGTCTTGTTGTCGAAGTTCACTTCCTTGTAGTACTCCATCTGGGGAAAGCATTTCTTGATGTGCCATAGCCCGGCCTTGAAGGGCTGCTTCCTGTCGTTCCATAGAAACTGATGATTGGTCAGATGCAGCACCCATTCCAACCATAGCCCTAGATGATTGCATTTGCTCTATGCTACCACATTTAAGAAATAATCCGCCCAGTTTATCTTCAATGTTCATTCTTAAGTGCAACAACCTATGGAAAAAATAAATCCAGAATTAGCAAGCTATGCAGAGTACTGAAAAACTACTTGTGGGGAAGAGGACACACAGTTCTCTAAGGCAGTGTTTATCAAACACTGCTCCTCCAGTTCCCAAAAATCCCAGCCAGCTTACTAGTTGTTAGGAGGAGTTTCAGAAATACTGTTCTAAGGGAAATCTCAATTCAAGACACTTGCACGTCTCTACTTAAGGGGGATCCTAATAAGATAAAGCTACAAGGCTAAAGTCTGTACTCATACTGCTCAAGACATTCTGATTACTAGGAATATTTCAAAATGGGATATTACTGAACATGAAAATTCAAACTGTGGCCATGAAGGTGACCTTAGCTTCTCAGAGGCCAACATGCCAACACAAAATAAATTAAGTGAAACAAGAAGGAAATGCTCAGATATCAGAATTCCACTGCCTCCTTGCCTGGGATTTGGGATACTTCTAGCCAAAGAACCATGGATGTGAATGTACCCAATGTAACTTAAATTTGCAAGTAGGAAATATCCTTCTGGATGAGCTGTAAGTTCTAATTGCACCCTTTTAAAATACATTTCTATTGAAAAGAGTTAAAAACAACCTCTTGATGTCACAAACGCACCGATGAAAGCCTCCATTATCCATGTTTGGTTCCTGTTAAAATCAATGTTCAGCCATGACAAACTTTTCACATTGCTTGCAACACATTATGGTTGCAGCTGACTTAAACTGAGCGTAACCCTAAATGTTTTGCTGTCTTAAAAGAAGCTGAAAAAATGGAACGTTACTTTGAAAAGCAGAAATCACTCATAAGTATACATAACTATTCATGCAAAATTTCATTTCTCTGCTGCTTTTCTTAATATTAATACCCATACATGAATATTTGGGCTAAATGGCTCACGTTCACTAAAGGGCAATAGTTGAAAATCACAAAACTAACCAAAGATATAGAAATGATGTGCTTTGTACAGGAAGATAAACCAAAAGTTTTGCAGGTAGCAGCTGAGGAAGTCAAACAGAACGGGATGCTATTTGAGAACTATCTATGTCACTTCTTATTTTGTTGTGTACCTTCAAAGTCATTTTCAACTTATGCCAATTCTAAAGAAAACCTATCACAGAATTTTCCTAGCAAGATTTTTTTTCAGGGGGAGGTTGTATTTGTCTCCTAGGCTGATAGAGTATGACTTGCCTAAGGTCACCCAGCGAGTTTCCATGGCCAAGTGGGGATTCAAAACCTAGGCTCCAGTGTTGTAGTTCAATGCTTAAACCACTGCACTATACTGGGTCTCCAGAACAAAGGAAAACATGAACTGCAGGATGCATTTCATATACAGTAGGCCCTTTATAGCCATAGATACTCTATCCATCAATTCAATTGTCCACAGCTCGAAAATACAAAAAAAAAAAAAAAAACCTTCTAAAAAGCAAACTTTGATTTTGCCATTTCATATAAAATAATTTTATATTACATACACACAGACATATATAAATTTATTATGCCACTGAATATAGTAGGCCTTGATTATCTTTGAGAGTCCTGGACCCAAACTCCAGCAAGCACTTGCTGAAAGGCTTAAATGAAAAATGTACAGTAATTCTTTCTTGATCGTTTGTTCTTTTCTCCATTACTCTTCAACTTCAATTCTCCATTTCTGCTCTGTTTTGAATTTCAGTTCCATTTCCATTCAAATATTCTATTTTTATTATCACAATCAGGCTACTGTTAATAGAACTTCGTCATTATATCAGGGCAAGGAAAGGGGTTTCCTTAAAATTTCACTTTTCCTTTCCCAATACAAAAAGGAGGCACTTGAACTATCAAAAGATTTCCTACATGAAAGTCTAGAAAATATATCTCTGCATCAGCATGAACACACTCAGTAGTTTAAATTTTAAAAAGAAGAGAATTATGCTCATCCACAGATGAAGACACTGTATATTAGAAAACTCTTTAGGTTTTAGCTTCACTGTTTTTAAAAAGTGAGGGGATTTGACACAGTCAGAAAGGTACCAGATCCAGTCTGATCTTGGAAGCTAAGCAGGGTCACAGGTGCTAGTGGCTACATTTTAGAGGAAGGAACTTGCAAAAATGCATCTAATATGTGTCTAAGAAAACCAAAAGAACAGGTTAACGTAAATTGACAGACAACTTGAAAGCACACATGTACGCATACACACACAGTCCTATCAACAAAATGCACTGCAGATTTAAACTCTCAACAACTCCGTTCTCATTAGCCTAGTGAGAAATTTACTCAAGTTTAGAAAGTGATTATTTAAATGGTATTTGTACAGCTACTGTCTATGCCTAACCAGGCTGTCCAAGATGACAATAAGTACAGACCAACACCTTTCAATGACTCCTCACATGGCAGATGGCAAGAAAACTAACTATGTTAGTGATCTTCTTGCAATGTCAGGCATACTTCAAGTTTAGAAATATGTATTTTGGCAATATAACAACAACCTTTTTGAAATAAAAAAACCCCTGAATTTCTTTATAGCAAGAATAGGCAATCTGATGCACTTCATATATGTTGGACTACTATTTCCGTAATACTCAACTCATGGCGATACTGTAGTCCACAACATCTCATCGGTGGTAGCTATTCAAAGAGTCAGCAATTTTATATATAAATTTGAAGTTAAAGAATATCAATGTAATTTGTAACAAAGCCATATGCAAATTACGAATGAAGTTTTATTTATAGAAATAGTTTGCTGAAACAGCAACTATTACAGAACTCTGTCTTACGATCAGCTAGAAACTGCACTGCATCTGCAAAGAAAAATATTTCCAAAACAAGCTGACCCTTGACAGAATACTTGATATTATACACCATGTACTAGCTCTGGTAAGCTAATATACTCCCTGGAACAAAACAAAACAAAACAAAACTCTCAAAAGCAATCTTTTTTCTTACATTTTCAAAAACTATATTCCACTTTCTTGAGTAATTCTACCATATGACAATTTGTTTAATTTTGTACACAAATACTGATTCAGTTTTTTCCCCCAAATTTCTTACATTCTATCTGCCTGTCTCACAAATACAGTAAGATGGTTTTTGAACCATTAAAAAAGCACTTCAGACAAGAACTTTCGGGGCACAAAAGTTAATTGCATCTGTTTATTACATACATTGGCTTTGAATATATATCTTATAGACATACCATATCACCTTTCTCTTTTAATATCTGTTTTATCAGTTACTCTATTATACATATTGAATAGCAAAATACATTTACAAATACTGTAAGTTAGATCCAGAGAAAAACATACTTTTCTACAACCTATATTCTCCCATTCCCTCAAACCCTGACAGTCCTCTCCTGTGGGTTGAGCAACCCTGTAGATTGCATAGGATGTAGAAAAGAAGGCTGAAGTGGAAAAGGTGGATCCCTGAAAATTGGGCAGAGACAACCATGAATAAGAGCAGAGTACTTTCCTCCTCTCTTTGCAAAAGTACTAAAGCTGCTGCCTGCAAGCTGACCCATGTCTTTGCATAATTTCAAGCTGTGCTACTCTAATGTACTTTACCAAAACACATTAGAAAAGATTGCAATGTGCCTCACACTGTTTTTATAGCCATATGTGTAATAAAAATATTAAATCAACAAGATACAAATCAACATTATAGAACTCTGAGTGTTGGTAGAATAAAGAATCATTAAGTTTCCTAATATTCACTGAAAAAAATACTCCAGGATATTGTAAAACTATTTGTTTCCCTTTTCATGGTTTCCTACTGATACAGAATGCAAGCAAGTTGCAGTTTGGTTGGGGAGAGAGTCAGGGTATCAAGAATGTGGAGGAGAAGGAAGAAAGAAGGATGGGCTTGCTCATGAAGAAATGTGGCATTAGAATATTTGCGCCTGCTTTTGCTATCCAATTATACTACATCACAATAGAAAGGGATGCTTACTAGTCACACAAGGTCTGTTTTGTTCGTATGTTTCAAGGTATACTGTATTTGATCATGATCAAATTAGTTGTCAGTTGATCAGAATTGTAAGCAGGGGCTTAAGTTCATCCAACAGTCCTTATAACATAGCTATCCCCCCTTCCTCACATAACAATCATAATACAGTGGCTTTCCACATTTGCTGAGGTTAGAGGCAAAGGGCTTCCGTAAAAGTGTGAAAACTGCAAATAAAAAGTGGGGGTTTGACCTGAAAGAACACCTTTCTATGAATCCTTTAGTTCCCTAGAGTGACCAAATTGTCAACTTCTGCCAGAAACTGGCCACAGAGTCATGCTGGAGGACCTAGAGATTCATAGAAATAACAAATTAATCACATCCATGCACAATCAGATCCACAAAGGTCAAATCCACAAATCAGGAGGGTCATCACTATAATAATCTGGTGCAGGAAGAGAAGCAAAAGGTGAAATGATACCAGAAGTAGGGCAGAATCACCTGAATCATTGTCCAAACTATTGTGAATGCACAGCAACTCACTAGATCAGTCAGAAAAATCCGAGTAAAATCTCCATCTCGTATCCTACTTTTTAAATTCATGTAAAAATGCTTCATTCTTCATTATTCTTCTGCAGGACTGCAAAATGGCACTGTCATAGGATGGGGGTGTTGTTTCTCTATTTGAAAAAACAATCAAGGCTATTAGTGCTAAAAGTGCTGCTAGCTATAGGGAAGACTTCAGCAAAGTTATACATTTTATTAGACTTTCTCAGTTGGATAAGAGCCAAAAGACTACAGATGGAGTAGATGATTTGAGAAATGTGTTCATCTATGTCTTCTCTGGAGTATACTATTTTTCCCTGTGGGCTCAAATTCTATTTTCAGGACAACTGGGTTTCTCCCACACAGTTACTATTTGCATTTTTGGTCTTTTATAAAATGGCTTTGCAAAACACCTATAAAGCAGGTAAGCAATCTATAGGCCTGGTTGCCTTGTTGAGATGGGGGGGGAGGGGAATGTTAAGAATATTACTTGGAATCCTAAGGGTCACATTTTAAGCTCTCTTGGGCTTCC